TTTATCTATAATTATTGTATTTTCTTTATGCGGTTGACTTTTACATGCCATTCGCCCTGGTCTCCAGTCACTTGACGGCATTGCCCATATAACCATTAAGACATAATGAACAATATTATTGAAAGAAAACTAGTTCATCTTGATCGCTGGAAGTACAGATTTTGGATATGATGAAATTTTACCAAGGAAAAGGTGTGGAAAAGATACATTTTGTGATTTGAAAAAAGTGTCGACGTGCTAGCACTTGGAGGGGGCGGGAGTAGACTGATGTTTGACTTGATGTGAAACATACTTATGCTATAGTTGGAAAGACACCAAACCAAACGTATTTTCATGCGAAACCAACTTAGAGTATTGCAGCATTATAACATTTTTTTGTTTACCTATAGGCATATCGCCCCACTTTAACTGTATATTAAAAGCGAGTTTAAGACAGGTTATGAGACCTAAAACATAAGGAGAAGTCAATAGTAAAACAGGATTTCGTCACGAATTAATGAATTTACAAACGGAAACGAAAAGAAAAACCCCTTAAATAAAAGACAGAGCTGTGTAAATATGTTTGTATAATGGGCAGGTTGTTCATTCAAAGTACTTACTATTATTATCATCATGAAACCCAACACTGGAAACCATTACATAAAATATACAGACGGAAACTGTTTGTTTAAACAAAATTGTTCCTATTTCATTTAGAACATGACTAAATGAAATACAAGTCAGAGTTTACTGAAAGCATTTAGCTTTACGGATGTTTATAATGAAATGTGACTAATAAAGGAAAACTAAAATACAGAAATAAAGCACTTATCCTGGGATTAAACTGACGAAAAAAAATCTCAATACTAAGTGTAAACAGAAAAGATGAGTAGAGTACAAGTTCAGTAAGTAAAACCTAACCACAATTAGGTTCTTAGAATAACATCACAGTAAGAAAAAACTATTTCCCAAACTTGAATGTTAATTAACACTGAATCATTTTCAAAATAATAATATCGTTACATACTTTTACTTGGTAAAAACAGCAGGGTGATTAAGAAGTATATCTGAGTCAGAATTTAAAAAGCTGATCTTCGCCAGTTTTAGTTATTTTTACTTATATTTCTTAATAGTATAAACATATACTAGGTTGTTAGGCTTAGGATTCTTCAACAGTAGGTGTCTGTGACTTGTTAGCGATAAATTCAACGATGAATAAACAGCACGCACTTCACTTGTTTTCAAAATAATATATATATATTCGAAACAAGTTGACGTATGTACAATAAATTCTTCAACACTATAGATATTATGGACATATCATAAATATTATATATGTAGTTCTCTCCTTCTTGTCAAATATACACTCAGCTCCATTCAATTACTTTAGAATTTCAGTTGGCAAGCCGAAATAACTTCTCCATTTCTATCGCACTAGTATTCTGTGATTCACTTACAAATGTGGCGCGAGTTACCGTAATCGTTTGGTCTTCTTTCTTCTGAAGATCCTCTGATCCTTTTGTCAAAATGCACTCAGGCTGATTCAATTACTTTAGAACCAAGCTTTGATGGAATAAAATTATTTTTCTTATCTTCTCTTCCACTGTTAGTTTCACTCTAACATATTAAACGTTAGACCTATGTCAATCATTAGGCCTATCACTTTTACGGTAGTTAACTTCACACCAACTTTATTCTCTGTTGTATTATCTGTCTCCTGCTTCCCGCTCGTTTCACGCTATATATATCTTTATCACTTAATCGTCTGTCTGAATTATATATTCTCGACGTCAATGAATTATTAACGAGACTTCCTACAATCGTCTGCTTTTAACTTTTATTACAACAAAAACTAAACAATAATAAAATATTTACTCACAAAAAGAAATTAATCACTAATATCTAAACCAAACAGTCTTTTATATCATGACAATCTGTAATCCATTTTACATAAATAGTAATGAAATATGAAGCTGTGGTAGTTTCAGATGAATTATGATATAGTATAATTTAAGAGAACCATTTCTATTGGCTAACTTATATTCTTGTTGAAACGTCTTTACGTTTTTCATTCAGTGTTTTTGTAATAAGGCGAATGCATATGATATTTTTGGATGTTTGAAGTGGGGTGGAGAACTAATAATGAGGCGCATAAACACGTGCTCACACACACACAAATAAACGCATATACATAAAACATAACGTAAGAAAATAGAAGAATTAGTGATTACACTTAATTTCAGGTTGTAGTTAATGGTTCAGCATGAGGAACTTCATTTTCCTGCGAACTGCTAACAAAAAAAATCAGAAGATCCTACGACGTAGTTCATCAAAACAAGTAAATCTAAACATCTCAAATGTTTGTATGCTGGAAGTTATTATTTCTTAAACTTGGATACATGACAAAACACTCCTGAGCGCTGAACACGTTCAACAACCAAATCTTCCAAAAGCATCAGAAAATTTCAATTTTCTGTAACATTTACTAAGACATTAATGAAGACAGCACTGATTACATAACGTTTGTATATATCGTATTATGTAGGTCAAAATGACACTTAGCTATGATTTTAGCAACTCAGTATTACAAAAATTCTACAGAAATCGATAAATACCATTGAGTGCGTGTGTGTCTTGACACTTTCAGACATTTCTGATTCGGCTATAAAAAAAAGGTTTAATAATCTCTGACGCCCTCCGATGTTTCTAAGCAGCGAAGCCGATTAAATATGTAAGTGAAACAGTCGGAATGTTCGTGATGATTCATAACGCGCTTGTCAACCAAAAAGACGTTATAGCGACGTGTATACTTCAGCGCAGCGAATCATGAAACGAAAGTACTGATAAAAATGAACAATTAGAGACAAACGTTTATCCGAACTATCCAATGAAATGAAACCAAAATATTGTGTGCTTCAAAAATAAGTAAAGACAACAAAATATAGCCTTACCTTCGGATTTATTTCAAAAATACGTAGATATAACAAAACATAGCCTTACCTTCGGATTTATTTCAAAAATAAGTAAAGACAACAAAATATAGCCTTACCTTCGGATTTATTTCAAAAATACGTAGATATAACAAAATATAGCCTTACCTTCGGATTTATTTCAAAAATAAGTAAAGACAACAAAATATAGCCTTACCTTCGGATTTATTTCAAAAATACGTAAAGATAACAAAACATAGTCTTACCTTCGGATTTATTTCAAAAATACGTAAAGATAACAAAACATAGCCTTACCTACGGATTTATTTCAAAAATAAGTAAAGACAACAAACAAAGCCTTACCTTCGAATTTATTCCGACTACAATAACCAGTACAGCTAATAAAAGGAAAATGGATGCCGTAACTCACACACGAGGAAGAATACGCTGAGAACAATATTCTGGCTAGGTTATATTGACAAGTATTTCAAGATATAAAGAACACTTTGTTACCTATCTAACACATAAAATCTCAGAAAATCACCAAAAAATCTCAAACCAAATCTCAAAATAGATACTGTAACAATATTCTGTTTAAGAAATATTGATAAGCATTTCAAGATATGAAGAGCACGCTGATGCGTATCTAACACACACACCCCACACACAAAATCTCAGAAAATCCCCCATAAATCTCAAACAATTTCAAAGAATGATATCTTACTTATTAAAAAGAAAGAATACTTACCCTATAGTTCTGTGATAATTACTCTATGAATGTGACACCTCCTAGTGCGTTTCTAATCTTATCAGCATCTTGTGATCACACTGGCTCAACGGCCTGGTTAGTGATTCCTATGGTTCGGGTAAACAATATCTAAATTTGAACTACTGATAAGAGGGAAGGCAACAAATCAGCCGCCTTCGCCGCCACAAGGGCTTTGTCCAGCTATATTCAACCGATACGGCATTTTATGCACACATTGGTTAAACAGGTATGTCAGAGACCTCTAGGATTCAGGTCTAACAATACTTAATTCTTACTACAGACCAGAAGCAAAGCAGCCAGTTAACAGCACTTAATAATACAAGGGCCGAATAACGAAATTGACTGTTACTCTTGTAATGCGCCCACAGCTGAAAGTGCGAAGATTGGTGTACATCTTTATCACAGTACAAACCTAGGTCTTCTGATAAGCAGCTCGGCCATTAGGTCATTCCCAGCCAGGTGACAGTAAAGGATTTCATAAGAAGTGGCTCCTTCTTGTTACTTTTCTGTTGTTTTGCAAAGTTCCCATCAGGCAGTGAAGAAATTAATAAAATATTGCGCTATGAGGTCTTTCCCATGGCTATATTTCAAGTAGACTAGATATTTTTGATGGTTATGAAAAGACAATGACATCCATGAAACCAACATTTTCTTTTTTTGCTTTCACAACTACTAGTAATAAAGTGTTTGTTTTCGCAGTATCCTTATTTTAATATAATTACATATGCTTTGTTTTGAATTTCGCGCAAAGCTACACGAGGGCTATCTGCGCTAGCCGACCATAATTTAGCAGTGTAAGACTAGAGGGAAGGCAGCTAGTTATCACCACCCACCGCCAACTCTTGGGCTACTCTTTTACCAACGAATAGTGGGATTGACCGTCACATTATAACGCCACCTCGCTGAAAGGGCGAGCATGTTTGGTGGGACGGGGATTCGAACCCGCGACCTTCAGACTGCGAGTCGAGCGCCCTAACCACCTGGCCATGCCGGGCCTAATTATATATGCATATTTTGAAAAAAATTGTATTGTTCTACATATGATTTCAATTTCAACTGTAGTATGGGTGGAAGAGATAATAAGTTATCATTACAACTGTTAAATACAAAACTTTCAGATGATCCAGCAAGTTATTTATAAATTAACTCAGTTAAAAAGATGAAAATGTTCTTGCGTACTGTTATAGATAAATATAATAAAGAAAAAATAATTCCTAACATTTCTTTCAAATTTTTCGTTTTTCAATAGATAGATTACTCGTCTTCATTTATACAGAGTGCTAGGCACATAAAAGTAAAACAAACATTTAAACCTATCTTACTATTTGATTCTTGGGTTTTTCCTCTCAAGAAGCTGCCAGAAGAACTACGTTTAGCTTTGGTATGACTTGGTGACAACTTGGTTTGACAGTTATTTTCTGGAAAATACAAATGACATGATAAATGTTAGTTGCTGATCCTTCAACATTGATACTTACCTAATAAAACAACAACAATCACCTTAGATTTAAAACCTGAATGACATACAGAAATTACTTACAAAAAATTATATCCTTTTTTCAGCTATATAAAACCTCGTTGTAAAGTATTAAAAAATCAAAAGAATTGTATGGTCACTTACGGATGATTGATATTAGTAATTTGTATGTAAGAAACCAAAAGAGATAAATATAAATAAGTAAAGTGTTGATAAGAGATTAGACGTTTCTCCTGTCATGGCCACAGTTTTGTAGTATTGTAGTTTCTTCTGTCATGGCTACAGTTTTGTAATATTGCAGTTTTTTCTGTCATGGCTACAGTCTTATAGTATTATAGTTACTCCTGTCATGGACACAGTTTTGTAATATTGCAGTTTCTTCTGTCATGGCTACAGTCTTATAGTATTATAGTTTCTCCTGTTATGGCCACAGTTTTGTAGTATTGTAGTTTTTTCTGTCATGGCCACAGTTTTGTAGTATTGTAGTTTCTTCTGTCATGGCTACAGTTTTGTAATATTGCAGTTTTTTCTGTCATGGCTACAGTCTTATAGTATTATAGTTTCTCCTGTCATGGACACAGTTTTGTAGTATTGTAGTTTCTTCTGTCATGGCTACAGTCTTACAGTCTTATAGTATTATAGTTTCTTCTGTCATGGCTACAGTCTTATAGTATTATAGTTTCTTCTGTCATAGACACAGTTTTGTAGTATTGTAGTTTCTTCTGTCATGGCTACAGTCTTACAGTCTTATAGTATTATAGTTTTTTCTGTCATGGCTACAGTCTTATAGTATTATAGTTTCTCCTGTCATGGACACAGTTTTGTAATATTGCAGTTTCTTCTGTCATGGCTACAGTCGTATAGTATTATAGTTTCTCCTGTCATGGCCACAGTTTTGTAGTATTGTAGTTTCTTCTGTCATGGCTACAGTCTTACAGTCTTATAGTATTATAGTTTCTTCTGTCATGGCTACAGTCTTATAGTATTGGCATTTAGTCTCTCACTGTTATAGTTCTATATTATTGGTTCTACATCTCTCATCGCCATAGTCTTATGTTACTGGCGATGTTCCTCTTATGGTCGTAGTTCTAAAGTATTAGCGCTTCAGCGTCTCAAAGTTACAGTTTTATAATACTTGTGTTTCGCCTCTCACGGCCATATTTCGATAATATTGGCGTTTCGCCCTTCATTGTTATAGTTCTACAGTATTGGCGTTTCGTTTCTCATGGCTATAGTTCTGTAATATTGGCGTTTCGCCCTTCATGGTTATAGTTCTGCAGTACTGGCGTTTCGCCTCTCATGGCTATAGTTCTATAATATTGGCGTTTCGCCCTTCATGGTTATAGTTCTACAATATTGGCGTTTTCCCTCTCATGACTATATTTCTATAATATTGGCGTTTAGCCCTTCATGGTTATAGTTCTACAGTACTAGAGTTTTAGCCTCATGGCTTTAGTTTTACAGTATTGGCGTTTTGAATCTCATGGTTATAAATCTACAATATTGTCGTTTTGCCCCCACTGGTTATAGTTCTACAGTATTGTCGTTTTGCTCTTCATGGCTTTAGTTCTACAGCACTGGTGTTGTGCGCCTTATGTTAATATTTCTATAGTATTGGTGTTTTGCCCCTCATGGTAATAGTTCTACAGTATTGGTGTTTTGCCCCTCGTGGTAATAGTTCTACAGTATTGGTGTTTAGCGCCTCATGGATTTAGTTCTATAGTATTGGCGTTTTGCCCCTCATGGTTATAGTTCTACAGTATGAACGTTTTATCCCTCATTGTTATAGTTCTACAGTATTAAGGTTTCGTTCTTAATGGCTAACTTTAGCGTAGATGTTTTAATCTTTCAAGATCAAATTGATAAAATGCTCTACTACAGCACGATAGTATTTTAAAAAGTAAAAATATGAAAATGAATTGTATTCTTGTATTTGTTTATCATTTGCCCTGTTTGTCAGTAATAATTTTGTATCTCGGTTTAGTTTTACTCTTCTATTTCAAAGGGCAAAACCATTAAGAGTGAGGGCAATTAGCTGAGGAATATATGTCTAAATATGCTTAACAACTTAATTTTATATCGTTTACGTCAAATCGTATGTAAGTCTATAAATCCGATAAATTGCTATTACTCGGAAAACAACAAATTTTGATTGAAATATTATCATAGCTTTGCTTTTTCTAATATTTTCTAGTGGTTTCTAAGGATCATCTTACACCACAATGGGAAACAAGTGGTTAATTTGATATTTTGTACACAAATACAGAATTTGGCAGCGAAAGTTTCTCCTGTTGGCTATCTGAGAAGGTGCTTTTCTCTACAGAATTTGGTTTCATTTTATGAGTCTTATAGATTATGTATATTCTATCCGATTTTTCTTTCAAATCATTTCACTGAAAATCCCGTTATGATTACTGCTGTCTTTTATCGTATAAAATTTCCTTCCATTATAAAGAATGAATCCCTTTTATTGCAAATAGGACTTGCCTGGTTACGTGACATTCTGGAAATTTTTAGTGGCGCGTAGGATTGAACATAATCCTAAGAGGTTTTTCGAGGTGATTGCCTCGTGAAGTAGTCTTATGAACTGTCCGGTAGCCATTCATACGATCTGAAATCGATCACCACTTCTAGCATTACAATAAGCTTCAAGTTTAACATTGAACTACCTGGTGACATTCAGTTTGGATTCTTTGATTTTAATGTATTTAATTTATTTATTTGATGTTGCACGTGTTCTGTGTAAGTGACACGCCGTCTGGTGTTCTCCAGCCTCAAAATTATGATTTTTTTTGCATTAAATTAGGTCGAAAATTAAAACTTCAGTATACATTAAATTTAAAAGTGAGAACGTGTCTGAAGATAAGGAGAGGGAAAGAATTAAACGTAGATATAATAACTAAACCTCTTTATAACATGGAATGAATTTTTATTAATAAAGTAGTTTTCGAACATTCACTACAGGTTTCACGTTCCAGACAGATAGGACGTACTTAACCTTCGGTTAGACTAATCTTGCTTTCAGGGTTGTCTTCCTACACACGTAGGTGTAAGCTTAGAACTTGTTTGTCCTGGTGCCTGTCGTGTTTGCTGGATAGCTCCTAGATCTAATTTCAGCAAAATATCTAGGGCAGGGGTTCCCAAACTTTTTAGAATCGCGACCCACTATTCATGACCACAGCTTATGGCGACCCACTCAAATTTACTGGGCAAAAACATATGAAAGAATATAAAAAATATTATTTATTCATATTCACGTATTTCAATTACATTTAAAAATATTCACTTATTTTCAATAACATTTCCAGAACTTATAAATGCTATCTAATTGATTGATAATGAGGCGTGTGTGAAGGATGTGCTTGTTTCTTGTTACTGTCAAGAATGGCATTGACATCAATATCAATGTGGGTTAGTTTCAGGCGTAAGGAATTTGACAATTGAAGTTCATTTCGGAATTTGTTTTTGATTCCTACCATTGCTGAAAATCCAACTTCACAATGATGTGAAGATGAGAAAGGGAGAAGTACCTTCAAAGCTTCAGTGGAAAGGATTGGGTACGGTTTTCGAAGAGACACTGAAAACTGTATCAGTTTTCTGCTGTTAAAGTTCATTTCTAACGAAGCGTCCTCAGATAAATCAAAAAGTTCTTCCTCAGCTTTTGTCGATATCCCACTCGTTATGTCAGGCTGAAAGGGGTTCATAATCCATTTTTTTTCTCTTGGATATTTTTCATTTCTTCAAGGAAATAAAACTCAAAAGTCTCTTTCAACTTATTCAAGTGTTCAGATATCTCAATGATTATATCGTCATAAACTCTTGCTTCATTCTCCATTACAAAAGTTTGAAATGTTTTAAAACATTCATAACGTGGGTTGTCAATACAGTTTTTCCATAGTACAAGTTTTTTCATGAAACCTCGAATTTTCTCATGAACTGCGAATATACTGATACTTTCTGCTCCTTGCAAGTACAAATTCAGTTCGTTTAGTTTTGAAAAAATATCTGCCAAATACGTGAGCTTCAGAACAAATTCCTCGTTGCGCAAATATCTCGTAAAATCGCTTTTACATTCCAGAAATATAGCAACTTCTTCGCTGAGTTCTGTAAGTCTTGTTAGCACTTCACCCCTCGAGAGCCAACGTACTTCTGTGTGCAGAAGAAGTGATTTATGATGCTTCCCATTTCTTCGCACAACTTCTCAAATAAGCGTGATTGCAATGGCTTTGAATTTATTAAGTTCACTATTTTAATGGAAATGTTCAAAACATTTTTAAAATCATCAGATATACATTTTGATACTAACGCTGCTCTGTGAAGGTTGCAGTGAGTCCATGATGCGTTTGGATTAAGTTCAAGTATTCTGGTCACCAGACCACTGGTTTTACCACACATAGCCCGTGCGCCGTCCGTACATATTCCGACACATTTATTCCAATCAAGACCTTTTGTTTTGACATAAGTATCAACAGTCTTAAAAATATCATCACTAGTACTTCGACTGACTGGTTCACAGCACAACATATCTTCATGAGGTTCGGAGTTCCATATATAACGCACAAAAACAAGTAGCTGGCACAGACCTTGTACGTCAGTAGATTCATCTAGTTGGAAGGAGAAAATTGTACTTTCACGAACTCTTTGAATTAGCTGATTTTCTATCCATCGAGACATTTCATCTATCCTATGCGTGACCGTGTTATTAGAAATAGGAATTGTTTCAATTTCTTGTTCACTCTTATCACCAAAGAAAACTTTAACTGTATATTTTATAGCTGGAAGAACTAAAGTCTCTCCAATTGTATGTGGTTTACCAGCTTTCGTGATTCTCAAACTGATCAGGTAGGACACGTACAAAGCTTTTTAATTAACTTTGGTGTAACTTTGCATAACGCTCTGTCCTGTCTTCAACTTGCTTAGCATCCTTTCAAAAAATTCGAG